ATAGTGTTTGTAATGTTTAGAACTCAGAAATCAGTGAGGTGTATTGCCAAACAATGAGAAGATGGGTCTGTAAACCAGGAGACGGTGAGTTACTGAGACCAGAGAAACACTAAAAGGCTTTTCTAATCTCTTATATAGATTTTCAGCACTGGCAATTTGGGGTAGAAATGGATACTGAAGCACATAGGTCTAGCAGTAGCCATTTCTCTGAAGGCTTACAATATCCTTCTGGCACAGGATACATCCTTATGCATCTTGCAAAAAACTCTCTTGCAATTTGAGATTGTGGAAAGTGTCCAGTGTAGCATACTAGCAATATATTCAAAGTATTTATTTCAGGATCAAAGTAAAATAATTCCCAGAAAAGTGAAGAAGACAAACACTGATGGCCAAGTATCCTCTCCTCTGCTGGTTATGATGATGCAGCAGCAAATTTATTAAAATAATGAACAAATTTAATAGCTTTTCTAATTCGTCGCTGATTCTCACACTCTTTTGTGGGACATCATCAGTTTATCATAGATGAAAGGGAAAGACAATTTTTGCGAGCCCCTGTGTTAAAAGACTGATGCAGAGCATATAACAATAGACAAAGTCCAGTATCAGAACTCTTTAGCACAGCTATAGCAGCTTCATAATGATGATTCCTTGAATCGGATCATTATGTTTATGAAGTGAGTATATACAAATAGATTCCTGAGATTATACCACTGAAGCACTTGCTAGCACATCAGGAAATCCGGAAGCTAGGATTTAAAAGGAAAGCCTCCCTTTAAAAAATGTTAAGAATTCCTGTTATTATTCATTGTCAATAAATATTAAACATTCTTACCTTTGGCTTTTGACTTTTCTCCTTATCAGACACATTAGATGGTTTTCTCTTCAACATTTTTAATTCAGGTTTATCCAGCTGATGTACAACTGCTACTAGCTTGCGACCAAACTAAGTACAATGAAGACTACTGCACAAGCACACATCAGTTACACAGTTCCTTATTCTATCAGGATGTGACTTCATGCAGCTGCTCTGTGGCATGGGTGAGCAAGCTGAAATCTTCGTTTGGGGAGGGAGTGTGGAAGGAGGGGAGGAAGTGACAGTGAAGAAAAAGAGAGAGGTGCACTAAGAAGATGAGTTGAAAATGAGTAAAAGGTTCAGTGAGAAACACATTAAGGCTTATTGTCTTCTATGTCACCATGAGGCCTCAGTTAAGACTTTGGAGAACCTCAAGAAAATAATCTTTTCCGCTCTCATTTTAACTCACTTAGTCTTGTGAGTAATTGCACCCTTCATTTCAACTTCTCCTGGGACTCAGATGTGAAGAAGTTGTGCTGCTGTGCAGAGAACCAAGGGTTTTTATTCCCCAGCAGATTTGCACTGCTCTGCGATACATAGTCTAGCTGGTCTCTAATGCCTCCCTTTCTCTCTTAGCTCTACAGTAATGCACTGAAAGCAGTGAGATTGAAAGTCAATGATTGAAGGTAGAGAAGGAGAGTTTTCTAAAGCCATTTTTTTCTTTTGCAAGGTGAAATAATTCTTTGCAGTTCATCACAGAATTTAGACTCCCTGAAATCATACATTTCAGTTCGCTGTTGTCCTTGTTTTGGTGACAAAGTCACAGGGAGAAAAAGCAAGTCTACCTGAAGGCTTACAACAAAGAGACAGAGGAGAATAACAAACATCCTTTATATCCTCTTGAAAACTGGCCAGAAGATAAATGGAAGTGGAAGTATTAAGATAGCTTTAAATTTCAGCTTCATTTTGCTTGATATTATTTGCCAAAGGCAAATAAACAAAAATCTTGAGTATCATAAGTAAAACTTATTTATTGTGAATCATAGGCCACAAAACCTGACATCATGAAAAATTTCCAAGTTTTTGCTGAAAAATGGAGGAAAATTGTCAATTTCAAACCCCAGACTTTTGGGTCACCCACAAAGCTTGAATTAAATCTTAATTTAGCATTACTACAAATGAAAAAAAATATATTTCTAAGTAAGCTGCAAGAAAAAGGTTCAAGAGCAAGTGTCAAGATAAAACTTTAATAATTATTTTTTTTAATTTCAATAACATTATTTCAAATTTCTTTTTTTAAAGCAAATCTATTCTAAACAACTTTTGCTCATAAGTTTTGCTTAGGTAAAAGCTCTTCTGAAAATGCAAGTCATTGTGGAGGTCTCTTGCACCAAATAAAAATTCAGAAGTCCTTGTGAATCCAAATAGTCAGTGCACATATGTAATTTGTAATTTCTCTATGTAATTCTTTTAATATTAGATCTGTTTTTAACTCAAATTTAAAGGAAAGCTAAAACAAGAAATCATCCAAACTGAAAACCAAAAGAAATGATGGTTGAAAGCAGATAAAAAATGCTAAGGTCTTAATTATTAGAATTACCTTCCCCAGTCCCATAAACACTGCTAACTTTTTGAGGCCTGCATGAGGAGAAAATGCTAGATAGGCAGATAGTCTCTTGACTGAATTGCTCTCGTTTTCTGCTATCATACAAGTACTCCAGGGAGGGATGACACCCATCTCAACAGATGAATTCCCATTCTAGTTTGCTTTGTGTATTTCTATTTAAATGTTTAAGAAAAGTTTTGGAGGCCTTCTTGGCTTCTGATGGATGAGCAACTGAATGGACTGAGGCTGACTGATGAAAGAATAATTACTATATGCTGATTGTATAATGAGGTTTTCCTTTCCAGACCTTCTAAGAACTGGGTTGGTAAGAAGAGGAGGAGGAACTGGGGTTAAGGTGCTGAAATTCTACCAAATATAATGCAAGATGGTTTTCTAGGTTATTGCATTGCAGTGGAGTACATGCTGAAACTCGACCCATTAACCAAGATGTTTCACTTCACATTTTAATCAGAACTACACTCATCTAGAACAGAGTTGATTTTATTATTGTTAATAATAACAGATACATCAGAGTTCATAATAATTGTTATTAATAATAGTAATTAATTAATAATTATGAACTTTGAGATATATGTTTCTTTTCTATATCTGATAACACCACCTGAAAAATCCATTTACATTTCTAACCATAAGGTTTTACTATGGTATTTAATCAGACTTAGTAATTCAGTAGGGCCATATGTTGTTATAGAAGCTATATGTATATATACTAGTAATTAAACCTGATAATTTATCTATATTGCAGTATATTGTTTTTCATTTTAATCTGATCCAAACATGAGGATTAAATCAGACTCTCCTGATCATTAGACTGTGATTTCCTGTCTCAAGCCACTGTTAAAATCTTCATGATTAATAAAATGGGAACTCATCTGTAGAGTAATATATGAGCTTCCTTTTGGTAGAATATTTATTGTTAAACAGGAAGAAAGAGGCCATTTCAAGAGATATAGTACCCACCCATATCTATTTCCTTTCCTCATCCACATATCACAAAAATTATAGCAGCTTGAAAGCTGACCTGATTATGTTCTTGCCCTTGGAAGGCTGACCCACTCTAGTTTTAAAAAGTAACAGTGAAAAAAATAAAACATATATAATATTAAGCTAATTTAATTTAGTTAACCAGTACATTTCAAAAGGAGCTCTTTTGAATTAAAAATTAATAATAAGCTTGGTGCTTATATCTTCTGTATTTGAAGCTAATTTTTCAAAGGGGAATGTAAAACTAAAAGAAAATTTCTTATACTTAGTTTTCTGTTGGACATGACTGCAGGTAACTTATTCTATTTCCTTGCTGGTCTTTGAACCTGATCCAAACCCCAGTGAAATCAATAGAAGTTTTTTAGGTGAATTTTATGGGTCTTGAATTGATGTCTCCATCCTGAAATATCCAGGCAATGTCACTCTTCTCTCTGGGAAGTCCTATGGGGATAAAGGCTGTCCACTTAAAAATAATTAAGATGATCCCATAAGAATGATTCCCGCTGTCATTATATTTATAAAATGCAACATACTTTATAGCTTATTATTATCATTGTTCAGTTTTAACGAATGGACCATGATGAATGGTCTTGGTTATTCAAGTGCTTTATGTGTCACCCTCCTACACAATATCAAAAGCCGCAACAGCGCCATACCCCTTCAGTGACTCCATGCAGTTACCTTGCCCTGAAAGGAGAGAGAGTCACCAGTATAAACTGCAAGTGTAAACTTATCCTTTCAATACTTGAGTATTCTCAAAAAACTAAAAACATAGAGCACAAAGTAGATTGAAGGGTTTAGCATACTGGCTGCCTGTCAAAAAGCAAATGAAATGAGACTTTTTTCATACTAGCAACTCATTTTTCATTGTCTGTCAGACAAATCTGGTCCAAGTTTAACTGGAGACTCAGAGATACCTTGGAGCTGTTTATTGCTTTCCCTAAAAAGTGTGTTAGTCTGTTTATTTTAATTAAAATAAGACTTGTATTTTGTACAAGAAAGGAATAATGCCTTCAGCCTCTGCTTTTATGGCCATGCCTCTCCCTGTATGATCAAGCTCCCTGAGATATTGCAGAAATCTCAGAATAGCAAGTGGAGCTGAGTGAATAATTTGCAGTGAATAATTTACTTAAATTTAATCTTTATTTCCTCAAGGAATGTTCATGAGCAGAACACAATTTCCTCATATGTATTAATTATGGGCCAGAACATAGCTAGATACTTCCCTCTCCTGGTCTAATCTGAGCAAGGGCCAGCCACATTTACAGTCACTGCTACTCCTCGGCAGAGAACCACAGAATCACAGAATCTCAGGA